TTTCTGTGCTGAACCGTATATTTATATGCACTCAAAGCAATACTCCGTCGTCGAACTATAGCAACTGAGGAACGTGCTCAGGATTTTTCAAGATGGTAAATAAACTTTAAAGCTTAATGATCAGTAAAAATAGTGAATTTCTTTCCGAATGAATGTTTATGAAGTCTTTTAACAGCCCAAAACACAGTTAATGCTTCTCGCTCAGTCTGTAAATAACTATGTTCAGTAACAGTAAGGTTGCGGGAAACACAAACAACTGGTCTACCTTTCCCCTCGAAAACTGCGCCAATGCGCACAGATGATGCATCAGTATTAGGCACAGAATGTACACTAGGGGAGTAGGTTCGAAGAACAGCATCACTTTAAAGAAACTTTGGTAGACTTCGTAAGCATGACTCCTGTTCCTCACCCCATTTGAATGAATTGGATGTCAAAATATTAAATAAACAATTTGCACGACAAAAAAAATTAGGAATAAAACGGGAATAGTATTGAAGAGCATCCACTAGTGAATGTAGTTCCGTAAGATTTTTTGGAGATGGTGCATTTGTCAGCGGAGCTAGTCGTTTCATATCTGGTCTTAAACCATTACCATCAACTAGGTATCCAAGACATTCAAAACTAGATGCACAAAATGAACACTTATTTGGATTCACTGTAATATTCTTCTCAATTAAACAACGTAATAAAGCAATAAGTCTCTCGTCATGAACTACCTTATCAAAACCATGAACAATAAGATCATCTTGATAAACTTCAACACCTTCAAGATCACTAACTACTTTATTCATAACTTTCTGAAATACGGATGAAGAACAACTTAGACCAAATGGAAGAAAATTGTATTTGAACAGACCAAAAGGCGTGTTAATTGTCGTCAAACTAGATGAAGATTGATCTAAAGAGATTCAAAGATAAGCAACTTTTAGGTGGACTTTCGAGAACACTTTAAAACCATGAAGTCGATTTAGAATATCTACAGCCTCTACCGTCGTTCACGTTTACTTCAACAAACGGGAGTCTAGAGTTAATCTATAGTCACCACATATTCTAGGGGTCTTGTCATCCGACTTCAGTGGCGTAACAATAGGAGTATCCCATGCTGAATAGTGAATCGGTTCAATTATGCATTTCGCACACAAATCGTTAAATGTCCTTTGTACTGGTTCTCGAAGACCAAGAGGAATTATTCGTCTTTCAAGAAAGACTGGATCACCCTGTACTTGAAGTTTTATAGGCTGAAATTTCATACCTCCACTGCACTTAGCACAGGTAGTTATCAAATCTCTAAGTAAAGCATCAGAATTTTCTTTAGAAATTAGGAAAGACAACTCCAAACTAAGCCTTTTCGGAGAGACTCTAATTTATGGACGAGCCAATCAGAAGCGCTTCAGAGATTTCAAGGTTACGGCGCCAACTTCAGTGCTTAATGCTAACGTACGATCGGTTCACAGGGAATTTTGTACAAAACGTGATAATTGAGTGGCTATAACAAATAAAACGGCGAGACTATAATTTGTGGACGAATCAGTCAGGTATAAGATAATAGATCTCGGATTTTAACGCGAAAGCCTTTCATGCACTTGGCTAAATAAGTTTCTGGCATTATAGCTGATGTCAGTTCGTGATGAAAACTAAGGCAAATTACGAAACGTATTGCGAACTGCATAATAAAAGCACCAGTAACACTGGCTGCAGCCAGGTACTACAGTATGTGCGGGTGATTGGAGGGCGTACAGACTCCTATATAGGCTTGGTTATGGGCATCGTGTCGTTATCCGAAAGTAGCATTTTGTGCACTCAACAACCGGAGTCCACATAAACAATATTGAAGCTATGTGGTCGAGGCTGAAAGAGTTTTTGGGACTTTATCATGGCTTCAGAGGCCGACTATTCTGTAGAAATGTGGAGGATTTCCCCTACTGCATGCATTACGATTTTAGGACTTCTGAACCTCTTTCTAACCCTGACAAGTTTTGAAACACGCGTAAGAAGTGCATCCACTTTATTTCATTGGTTTTGTATATATTTTTACTCTATGCTGACTTTGTGCTGATTGGCTGATATTGATCAAGGTCACTTAAGATTCGTTCAAAGGTCGTCCATAAATAAGAGTCGCCGAATTGTCATCTCTTATTAACAATTCACATCCTCGTATGGGCAGTCTGTGTCCAGTAATCTCCAATATTGATACTTCAGTGGGTCGAACCACAACGTTAGGATCTAAAGATTTCAAGTTTTTGGATGACATAATGGACTCTATACTGCCTGTGTCCACAATAAAGTCATGACATGAACCAAGCGATGTATATAATCGCTTTTGAACATGAGCATTACCTTTCGAAATGGTAGACAACGATAAATGATCAATAGAAACAGCCAAATTATTGGGATCTAAATTACAAGATATAATACTACTTGAAGCAAAATGAACAGTAGCTTGGCATACTGACTGAATGTGTCCCATCTTACCACATTTAAAACATTTAGCATTATGAAATGCGCATGAATTACGAGAATGAAACTTTTCTAATGATAAACGTTTACGAAACTTGATCTCACCTTTGTGATTTGATTTGTAATTCCTTTATGAAACACCTTTTGTATTTACACTTACATATTTATCACAGTTAAACGAATGCAAGTTTGATTGACCCTGAGATTGTATTTCATCATGACAACGAAACAAAGTATTAGAAACTTCCATTGACTGGATATCAAGTTCATTCTCTGCCTCGCAGTTATTACACGCAGTTATAGCACCTTGAAAGAAACAGTTGCGCATTCTTAACAGTTCTCTTTCCAAATCCGTCAAGTTAATTCCTGCAATTAATCAATCTCTCAGTTGCACATGAACTTGATCACCGAAATTAAATTTGACAGCTTGTTTCTGCAATTCAAGGATTAATTCCCTAACATTTTGGTCATTTCAACGAATCATCTTACGAAATTTTGCCCTTCCGTGGCATTCAAAACTAATGCACTTTACATGATTTAATAATAGCTTCTTAAGGGTTGAATGAAGCAAGCAAGTGAAGAAGAGCATTAGAGCCGACAAGATGAAATAATTGGAAGAAATAGCATTGACGGCGGAAAGAGCAGCTAGAGAAGGAAATATGAAACAGATTTACGATACAACAAAGAAACTAGCAGGGAAATATAGTAAACCAGAGAGACCGGTCAAAGACAAGGAAGATAGGCCAATCACTGAAATTCAACAACAGCGAGGAACTCCTGTATAGGCCGGCTCCAAAGAATCCACCGGACATCGAAGCAACACACACAGATCTTCCTATAGATGTCATTCCACCAACGACAGAAGAAATCAGAATGGCCATCAGACAAATCATGAGCGGGAAAGCAGCAGAACCCGACAACATACCAGCTGAAGCACTGAAGTCAGATATCGAAGTAACTACAAACATGCTTCACTTTTTATTCAAGGATATTTGGGAATAGGAACAAGTGCCTATGAACTGGAAAGAAGGACACCTCATCAAGATTCCAAAGAAAGGAGATCTGAGCAAATGTGAAAACTACAGAGGCCTTACACTACTGTCAGTGCCAGGGAAAGCCTTTAACAGAGTGTTGCTGAACCGGATGAAAGATGCAGTAGACGCCCAACTTCGAGATCAACAAACTGGATTCCGTAAGGATCGGTCGTGCACAGACCAAATTGCGACACTACGGATCATCGTCGAACAATCAGTTGAGTGGAATTCATCACTATACATCACATTCACTGATTATGAAAAGGCGTTTGACAGTGTAAATTGGAGAAGGTCGTGGAAACTTGTTCGACACTATGGAGTTCCTGAAAAGATTGTCAACAACTCATACGACGGACTACAGTGCAAGGTCCTGCATGGAGGACGGCTGACAGATGCATTACAAGTAAGGACCGGAGTCAGGCAATGCTGTTTACTTTCCCCCATCCTCTTTCTTCTGGTGATCGACTGGATTATGAAGACCTCGACATCTGAAGGAAAACACGGAATACAATGGACAGCTCAGAATCAGTTAGACGATTTGGACTTCGCAGATGACCAAGCCCTCCTATTGCATACACATGAACAAATGCATATAAAGACAGCCAGTGTAACAGTAGTCTCTGCATCAGTAGGCCTCAACATACACAAGGGGAAAACCAAGGTCCTCAAATTCAAAACGGAGAACAGCAATTCAGTCACTCTTGATGGCGAAACTCTGTAAGATGTAGAATCCTTCACATACCTGGGAAACATCATCGATGAACAAGGAGGTTCAGATGCAGACATAAAGGTGAGGATTGTCAAAGCAAGGGCCGCATTCCTACAATTGAAGAACATATGGAACTCAAAACAACTTTCAACCAATATCAAAGTGAGGATCTTCAATACAAATGTCAAGACAGTTCTACTGTACGGAGCCGAAACTTGGAGAACTACTACAACCATCATCAAGAAGGTACAAGTATTTATAAGTAGTTGTTTACCCAAGATACTCAACACCCATTGGCCGGATATCATCAGCAACAGCCTTCTGTGGGAGAGAACAAACCAGCTTCTAGTTGAAGAGGAAATTAGTAAAAGACGATGGAAATGGATAGAACATACATTAGGAAAATCATCAAACTGCATCACGAGTCAAGTCATAACTTGGAATCCTGAAGGGAAGCGGAAAAGAGGAAGGACAAAGAACACGTTATGTCGGGAAATAGAATCAGATATGAAATGGATGAATAACAACTGGAAGGAGCTGGAAAGGATTGCCCAGGACAGGGTTGGATGGAGAATAATGGTGGGTGCCTTATACTCCTCCACGAGGAGTAACAGGCGTAAGTAAGTCCTTCAGAGTAGCATAAGGAAGTGAGATAGGTTTTTCTGGATGTGCCAAAATTTTACTAATTTATACTCCTCTCTTCCGATGAATGTCAGGAAATGTGCCACGATTTTATCACCTTTCGTTCACCATTGTTGTTAGGGCGGCTTTTGATCGGTCCTTCTTTAAACTCGTGTCATAAAACCAGCTGGTTCCAGAAGCCAGTGCTGGCATCACAGAACGAGTTCAAAAGTCAAGTCTGAAAAGACAAAAGTGAAGTTTGCTCAGTCAAATATTAATCATGTTTACAAAGGAAATACTACAGAACCTCAACATAAACCAACTGTGCGACAATATGGGATGCAAGTTGTCGGAAAGTTGCAGGGAACGCGCCGATTACCCCCACCAGCTTGGGTCCCCAGTATCAAGGCTGAAACAGGCGGTCTGGACAGTCGAGTTTCTCTTGTTCCCGCGGGTGGGGGTGGGTGGGGCGCTCCCTCGACTTCCAGTGCTGACCAGCCACCTGTATCATCCACGGGAACTGATAGCCTTCCAATTGTTTCTACCTTACCCTCCGTGAATGGTGCGCTTTATAGTGAAACAGTCGGAAATTCTCTCGAACCAGCATATACAAAGTTCGTTTATGGTAACTCAGATATGGGGGTAACGGGTGTATCAACACTGAAAGATACTTCAGTCGGTGTGAACGGCTCTGTTAAGACAGACAAAACTCAAGATGCAGTAAAAGATAAAGTATCCAGTCAACCGCTAAAACCGCCGAGTGATAAGCCAGGATCTAGCGGAGGATTGGCAGCTAACAAACCATTCATCCAGAGATCAACTCCGACTGTAACCACTTCTAGTACAACAACTACGACATCTAAATCTGAAATTCCTGCCAAGGTTGATGGGGGCGCTCGCGAAATAGTTGGGGAGCCTTCTGGCTGGGTTGCTATTGGCCAAGATGAACCTGACTTCGATGAACGCATAATTTTTAGTGATGATGAAGAGTATGAAGTAAAATCCATCCAATCGACCACAACGACAAACATATCAGAACAACCTGCACAGTTTTCGATCCCACCTCCTAATACTGTTAAGACCAGTTTGCATGCTATGCCTATGAAACCCTTTGTCAGCCCGTCGACTAATTTACAAGGAGCTTGCGTCATCCAGTCACAATCGACGGTATCTCAAAATATGTACGGCTCTAATTTAATGACATCAAACGCTTGGTCCGCTGCGGATGTTTCATACACTCGAAACTGTTCAGTTAGCCACTCTGGACCTCCACCAATTAATCTTCCTTACAGCATTGCGTCGATAAATACTTGTGGGATTACTTCTGATGCCAACCGTTCATTACCAAGTGGACAGTTTATGAACCATGTTACATCTCCAGGCGTTATAGATTCGTTCTACTCTACACATCCACTTCAAAGTCGTTTGGCGGTGTCGATTGCAAGTGGCATTACTGACTCTGTAAGGTCAGCAACGGATGTAGATGCCGAATTACAGCAGGCTCAGAGGCAAGCACGAACCCAAGAATTTAAAAATGCAGTTGAAAGAGCTCAGCAGGCAAGAGCACGACAAAAGCTTTCTGAAAGCTGTTCAGCTGAAAGTGATAACATGTTACCTAAGTCTGCTCTGGGTCTCTTGTCCAGCATGTCAGAAAACAGATCACTTCCATCTGTTCCTACGCCTTTCACGACTACGGCATGCCAAGCTGGTCCTAATTGCTTGTTCCCAGTAGGGGACCATTCATCTGTTAATCATATGCTTAGCGCTCCTCCTCACAATATGCTTCCTGCGTTTCCAACATCAGGACCTCTAGATATAACAGCCGCAATTGCCGCTGCGACTGCTGCTGCCATAGCGTACACAGGTGGAGCAGATAGTGGGGTCCCAGAAAGAAGTAGAATTGAAATGCCTCTTAGTGTTTCCTCAATTATTTCTCAGACACAGGTGCCAATGCCTGTTAGTTCAAACACAGCAACTGCTGGCACATGGCAAGCTCAGTTTGGTTCTAACAATTCAATGCCTGCCGCTATGGTCCGATTGCTTTCTCAGCAGCCTCTTATGGCACAGTTACTACAGAATGCTCTTAAAATGTCTGCGGGTAATTCTCAAGTACCTAAATCTGCTCAGAACATCTTTCTTAGTCATACTCTAGATTTCAAACTTTTCCAGATAATCCTCAAAAGCTTCAGAAGTTGAATGAAGGTCTGTTTCATCGCAGGCTCCATCGCAACGCCGGTATGATGATTAGGAGTATTTGATTTGTAGTACAAATTAAGAATCCCAGAAATAACGCAATTGAATCGAGAAGTATTAGATAGGCACAAACGAATGTACTGTATTTGGAGTTCGAAATAAAGCATTCAACAAGCACAAAAGAATCATTAGTTCACCCAAAAACCACAAAAATGATAATAGGTGGCACTATAATCCATCAAAAATGCTAAAACAAAGCTCATTAAGGTTCACTGAACCACATTAGAGACATCGCTCATATTTATATCAATATTGAATTCGAAATGTTCACTGATGGCATAAGGACAAAAAAGGGGTTGACACGGCTTCGGATTACCACTCAATCGTGTGCAAGCTGAAAACAGAGCTTAAAAATCCGTGAAAAAATAATATAACATTATGTATTAACGTCTTCTTTTAAGGTATTGACTTATGAATTCTAGATAACACATGGCGACAGTATTCAAGCCCTAGGAGATCTGCTAAAATAAGAGGAAACTACTGAAACAACTCGAAAGGGACGAAAGAAACAATTGTTTCAATATGTCAGGGGGAGAACTGAGCTGCAAGAAGTATCGCCGAAATAATGGGACTCCATTATTAGCCTGTGTTTAGCTTTGAAGATTGTATGGTTAGGGCCCAATGCTACTACAGGCCTAAGGCCTATGTTATTCCTTTTCTAGCATGCTTCTGTGTGTCCAGTCTTCTCTCGGATGAGTCAATTGAAGGTGCGTACATCACTGCTTCGGGCAACAGGTTCCAAGAATTGATGAACTCGTGTGAGAACCTGTATGCCATGGGTAATTTGTTCGTTCTTGACTTTTATACTACCCTGCTATGTCCTCTGAGATGTCCCGATCTAGTGGGAAGAAAAAGAGAGTAAGTTAGGCCCAAGATCATTCCTCAGTATTCTGTACATCAAAATTAGATCTCTTAGTCTGCGGTAGGACAGAATAAAGAGGTCCAGCTTTTCAAATTGCTCTTTGTATGGTAAATCTCATGATTCTGAAATTGCACGGGTAGCTGCCCTCCGTACTTTTTCCAGTATATACGAATCACCTTTTAAACAGGGACTTGCAGCCTGAACACAGTTCTCAAGCTTAGTTCTCACTGAGGTTGTGTATGCTATGGTGAACATGGTGGTATCTAACTTACTGAATGTTCGTTTTTAAAGCACAGTGGGTTCTAAACCACTTAACTGAGACCTCCTGGCAGTGGGCCGTCTTCTTAAGATCATGACTCACTGTTACCCCAAGATCTTTATGAGACCGGACCACTGGTACTGGAACTTCCCTTAAACTGTATCTATTATTGTTTGTATCCCCAAAGTGCATGTAGACACACTTTGCCGCAGTGATAGGCATTAGCCACTCTTTAGACCAGTTAACCATATTATTTAAGTTTGCCTGAAGTACGTATGCGTTTGCGTCTCCACTTATTACTCGCCAGATTTTTACATCGTCAGTGTATAATAACATTGGGGACTGTACTGTACTTGGAAGATCATTTTCATACAGCATAAAACGTAAAGGACCTAGGACGGAACCTCGAGATACTCCACGAAGTACTGGTCTCCAGATGGAGCACTTGGAATTTATGCTTACTTTCTGTCTACGACCTACTAGGAAATCTTCAAGTAATTTTAATAGAGGTCCGGCAATACCAGGATTTTCTAACCTCAATAGCAGTCTATTAGTTGGCACTTTATCAAAAGCCTTAGTGAAGTATATGTAGACAACATTCTACTGTCTTTATCCAAAATTCCCTTGCTATAAGAAGGTTAGTTGTACAAGATAAACCCTTTCTAAAACCATGTTGTTATCTGTTTAACAAGTTATTGTTTTCTATAGATGTCATTATTGTCCTTTTGACTATTATTTCCAATATTTTAACTACAACACTGATGAGACTTTCAGGTCTGTAGTTCGATGGAAGTTGTCTTGGTCCTTTTTATGTGTGGGAGTGACGATTGCGTCCTTCCAGTCCATAAGTAGCACACCTTGGTCACATGACGTGTTGAGTATCACAGTTAGTGGAGCCGCGATATATTTTGAAATATATCTCAAGATTTTGGGGTGTAGTCCATCTGTTCCTGTTGACTTTTACATATTCAAGATGCTAAAGGCCTTAAGTACATCGTCTTGATTGAGGTCCACGGTGAGCAGGTGGTTTATTGACTCTTTATTTTGGTCTGGTTCTTTGTCTAGAGGATGTTCCTGAGTGAAAACTTCCAAAAATAGTCAGTCATAGCCTTTGCTTTATCCTGATCTTCCTCTATCATTTCAGACTCACTCCTTTCTTTAGTTAGGTTGGGAATCCAATGATGCACCCTTGTTCCGTAGTTTATGTACGAGAATATTTTCTCAGTCTGCTTGAGTGCAGATTGTGCCAACTGCGTTTCATATTTTCTTTGAGCTTACCAAATATTAATTATACACGTGTTTCTTCTCGATCTGTAGCGTTCCATCGTACCTGTTGTGCGAAGGCTGATTGCAATATTCAGCCTGACGGATAATTTGTCTGAGGCTCGGGGCGTTTCACTAGTTCTAAGTGTATTGCTGACAGCAGCCTTGTCAAACGCTGCATAGCTATGCCATGTTTGTTTTCCAAGGAAACCCTAACGACCATTTTATTCCTGCAGGTACTAATGGAGATTATTATATATCACTAATCGATCACTTATTGACTTAATTATTTTTACCTCCAGTTATTAGCAGGAATGCAACAAGAGTAAAATCTCTCTTTAACCAAGAACTCATTCACGCTATCCAGAAAAAGATTCCAAGGAACAAACAGCACACATCCTCCTAGGCGAAGTCAAAAGTCAGAGTTTGGAGGTCGTACGTTTACCCGCACTTACGAAGTTGTGAGTTACTATGAATGCTCCTGCTTCGTTCGAACCATTCCTGCTTGCCGATGGTGAGAAGAAGTGGGTCTTTGACACATTATTACACTTGCAGGATCTCCTTCGAAAAGGATACTCAGGTTCCAAATGCTGCCATTTTTACCCTAAATCGAGAGGATCACACTGTTGGAAATATGATAACATGGTGTGTTTTTTAATAGTATATTGAGTACATATATGCTTTTTAAAATGACTGCTATGCGTTGCAGGAAGTTTACTGATTATTCGATCTAGGTAGAGTTCTCAATGCAGTTAGCTGAACTTTATTTTCCGGAGTATGGTTAAGTGTGGTTTGTAAAGATAGCTACTTAGTCATGTTATTATTCATAAAATTCCAAGCTTCGGTAGTGAATACATATTAAACTAAACTTTGGTGGTATGGACTGTGAAGTAACAATTATCCGATCCGAATAATTTCGTGGTTATTTCGTTTCTACACCCATGAAGTTTTTAAGATATGTTTATTTGATTCATTTCAGTAGTCAGAACTTTCTGGTATTCTTGTTATAAGTAATTCCTTTTTTCAACTTTATTTGCAAGTGTTTCAGTCCAGGCGTAAGTATCATACAGACGTTTTGATCTTATTGTCTACCAGGCAGATTGGAATTTCACCAATGTTTTCACATTATTCGGACTCATTTTCGTTTTGCTGCTTTTCTTAAAAGTGCTTTGTAGAAATGATTGCCTTCGCCGGGTATACGGCTAATTTTAGTGCATCATTTTCACCATAAGTGGGATATAAACCATCGGTAATATAATAATTTAGTGATTAGGTCGACCAACTCCCGGTTACTGAATTGCATGTTCAAACTTTGTCCCGCTTAGCCTCGTTCTGGCATCCAGATATACTTACTATTCATCATACAGAGTGTAGTTTATAATTGAACATGTGAATCCGCATTTGATTACTGAGTTTCAACAAGATTACTTTTGTGTGAAGGTATGTTTTATGAATATTATTATCTACGTTATACTCAATCGCAGAGGAGATAGGTTATTTCATCGATTAGGTTTTGGACTTGTATCAAATATCACCACGCTGAAACATGGTACTACTAAATAAAGTCACTAACCATTGGTGTTAGATGTGTAATAGAGTGTAAACTGTCAATGCAGTTCTTCCCTATCTGTTCATTTTAATATCTTCCTGTCTTCTCTTTGCGTTGAGAAGCTTGGCAACTTAAAGTGATTTTCGTCATGCGGTGCTTTTTGACACATCTGTTTTTCTGTATATAGTACTATACATAATTCACCATTCCATACTATCTTTAAATCCAGGCAGTATGACATTTTTTACTCGGTTTTATGAATCACTATTTATTAGATCCTTATCTAGTCGAGTAAAACAACATATTTGGGGAAAGTAATTACTGATAATAGTTGATAGGCTGGAGATCCATTTTACTTTATGTGTAAGCAAACAAGTTAGTTCCTATAGAGTTATCATCAAGCTAGTACAGTTCGACTACATCTTCAAAATAACTGTTAACTTTGAGCTGTTATGAGAACGGTGATGAAAATGATAATAGAATCTCCACCAACTTCTGTTTAAAACCATATCTGACTACGTCGCAAGTGCCACGATCTTTAGGACTATAACTGAAGAGCCATAATAAACTAACAAACACCAGTGCAGTTCAGAATAAAGTTAGTGGATTTTAAAGGATTTGTATGAGGCATCTAATTGACTTTCTAATTCTATTATGGCACAAGTTATGTAAAGTATAAGATCATCCAGAATTCATACAAAGATCACGAGTAAACATAATGCCATAAAACTGTGGAGTGACGAGATTAAAACTAAAATTAGACTTAGGTATCCAAGCTGAAAGTTATAGGTTTGATAAAAGGAAGGTAAAAGGCTTAGTCGATCATGCACAAATTAATTACTTGTATGTGTGCATATTAGTCTTATTCTTCCATAAATTTCAGGCAGTTCCCTACTCACTATCTTTTCTTTAAGCACTTTTGGTTTTCATCTTATTCATTTTACCATTTAACGCTTGACTTTTACTTTGCTGCTAAAAATAATGCAACTGTCATCATTCTACCTATCACTTTTGTTTCTATTGAGATACCAGTGTCACCGCCCATAACTAAAGGTCGCTATTTTACTCTTTAGTTTCTACTGTCTCCCACTAGTTACGGTGGATATTCAGGAATTATTTTATTTCTTGAATTAAACATTCTTTCAAACTTGTCCTTTTTTCTGTTTTCCTAATTTAGCCAGTTACTAAAAGATCCAAGAGTATTATTTGCAGGATACAAAGCTCCTCATCCATTAGAGCACAAAATCGTCATTCGAGTACATACAGCTCATCCGGCGACACCTGTAGATGTCTTCGTTTCTGCTCTGAAAGATCTTATAAGTGAGATCTCGAATATAGAAGAACAGTTCAGAGTAAGCGACCATTTTTTCATTAATCTGATTCTGTTTAGATGGCGACAAAATGAAACATTGCATTTGTACATACTATTTGTTTATATATTCATAACGATAAAATGAAAATGCTTGTCCTGCAAAATTTTGTCTTTCGATTAATCCATTCCTTTTTACCTTGTTGAAATGTAGAGTTAAGGAGGTTGGAAGCATAATGATGTCGGGTTATATAGGACTGGTTTGTTGTAAACAGTTTCGGGTGATTTTTCTGAGGATTTTATTTCCTCACTGTAGCTAGTATCACCTGATGGCATACAGAAATCCCGTGTATGTGAAGTGAAAGATACTTGTTTCTTTAGGATTTATATTTTTTTAATATTCCATACATGTCCTAAATACCTCATTGATTTAAAACAGCTTCGAGATGCCATCCGTAAATGACTGCCTTTTATAGCGGACGATTTCGAAATTGTGGACTACTTAACTGCATATCTGACATGTTCATCAAAAAAATTGAAAACATTAGGTTTAGTAGAATTTAAAATTGACTTAGTGGAGACAGACTGCTAATGCAATATCGTTTCGCTCAGTCGGTCAACTTCACTGGGACCATCTCATCGTTCTAAATTATTAAATCTATTTTTTATTCTGTTGTTATTGGCAGAGATTCACTTAGTTAGGAGCACAAATTAACCTCCTGGACTCAGTTTTTTTTATTTATAATGGCTGGTTTATTTATTTATTTAAACATATAAATATTGGTACAAAGGAGCACCAGATACATATGCATCACACAATAATAATGAGAATGTGAAGAGATAGAGAATGTAAGGTGTGTATAAGAAAAAGGGGAACAATAACGAACAAACTTTAGTGTATGATAGTGAAATAATAATGGAAGAGGCAGTTCAGTTTACAAAAGTACAGCCAGGGAGAATTCTTTTAGTCAAAGAAGTTACGTCATTTTTTATGAAGAAAGTAAAATAACGTTAAAGCAGAGTCACCACTGGTTCCTATTTTGAGCCGCATCTGATAACGTCTTTAGCCACTGTGTTGCACCATCTCTCGGACCCCAGCCAGGGAAACGTGAAGGACCAACAGGAGCCAGCCCTTTGCAGCTTTCTTTCACACCACGACACCATGTCATACACTGGGTACCTCTCCGCTATTTTCCAACCAGTCCCAATGTCGGCAAATAATGCACGAAGAGGAATTTTCTGGGACGACATTCGTAGGACATGTACATGACACTGAAGTCGATGTTTCAAGATAGTGACACTAATCGAATTATCGTCACTGTGCCTGAATGCACAATGCCGAACCTCTGCATTACTAACATGGTGTTGCCACTGGATGTCAGCAATCCTTCGGAGACAGCGATGATCAAACACAGAACCGTCTAACATCCTCAACTCGAAGGGGCCAGGTTTTACAAGCATAGAGCAAAACTACTCTCACCGACGCGTTTTAGGTCCGACGTTTTACAGCCAGACTAACATCACGAGATGCCAAAGGTGACCCAGATTGGCATAAGCCGCTCTGGCTTTCACTATACGTGCATTGATCTCATCACTCACGCCACCACCAGCACTTAAACAGCCACCTAGATACGCGAACTTTTCGATTACTTCTATCTGCTCACTATCCAGGGTGAGTGCAGGATCAAGGTCCTGCTAGTCTTGTAGAAGTACTTTGCACTTCGAAGATGCGAAGCAAATACCATACTTACGGACACTGATTGCCAACTGATTAAGTGCGGATTGCATGGCTTGGGTATTATCGCACAGTAAGACAATATCATCCGCATACTCAAGATCGAGAAGTCTTTCTCTAGGCAACAGATCCGCACCGCCATTACTTACATCCATCAGAGCTGTTTCCAGAACGTTGTCAATAGTAAGGTTGAAGAGGAATGGTGAGATTGGGCAACCCTGCTTAACTCCATTGCTTGCATGGAACAATGGAGAGGTGATTGTATGCCCTCATTCTGTCTGAGGTGTTTGTATATAGAGCTTTTAAGGTGTTAATAAACTTCTCAGGCATACCCTTCTTCAATAGACAATTCCAAAGAACAATCCTGTCCAACGAATCGAAGGCAGCCCTGATGTCAAGAAACACTACGATTGTTGGCCTTTGATAAGTATGACGGTGTTCTAACATTTGGCGGAGGGTGAAGATATGACCAATACATCCTCGACCAGAACGAAGACCAGCCTACTCCTCGCGAGTTAATCTTTCTCAAGTTCTGAACAACCTACAACGTATGACAGAAGCCAATAGTTTGGACGCAATCGGAAGTAGACTTATCCGCCGATAGTTTTTACAGAAACGAGGTGAACGCTTTTTAAAGATAGGGACAACTATCGACTCATTCCACGATGTTGGAACACTCTCTAGTCCCCAGACCATTGTAAACAACGTTGTCAGTTCCTTAACTAAAAATTCACCGCCATCTTTAAAAAGATCCGGATGTAAGTCATCTAGGCCCGGTGATTTGTAGCGCTCCAAGAGTTGGAGTTCCTTGCGGAATTCCGCCTCATTTGGTGGACCAGTCGTCACAGGTCATGAAGGACAGGGCAGTCTGATTGATGTTGACGGGGCAGCAGATCAGTTGAACTGCCCATCATCCAAGAAGTCGATAAATGTTAGTGATTGGCAACCCTTCATTTTCACGGTTTGTTTCGCCTACGTCAGACTTCTTGCTCCCAATGGCTCTTTATTTATTTTGAACATAAACATTGGTACAAGGGGGCACCAGATACATCTCAGCCACACCGTAGTATATAAAAAAATAGTAATAATAAAAATGAGTGTTATCAAATGAATGTGGAATGTCTAAATTCTAATTGAAGTGAGCATAGTACTTCCTGAAATGATTGTCATCTCAGGTGGTTTTCTTAGGGGGCCACACCCCGAGCCTTCGACCGAAAGGTCTGATCCACAAGGCAGTGGAGCATCGTAAAGAGATGCAGTCCCGTGGTAGCCGGTGACCAAAAATTGGTTCATACGCAATCTGTTCCCTCGGGATACTGGAGCCCATGTGCACCATTGGTTTGGAATCAGGGTTTCCCAACTCCCCCAGGTGAACTCCCTGTGTTCACCAACCCAGTTAAAATGCTGGAGTTCCGCTTTTCGTCCTCTGAATTTCTTAAACAACAGTAATGCCGCGATAAGGCAGTGGTTGTATGCACGTGGCCATGTGAGAGCCCTCCCCACTCTTAACCATACCAGGGCATTTGGAGGTATGCCAATGGCTCAGATAAGTTGAAAGAGCTCCCGGCAGTTACCAGATGCAGCTGCTGCTTCTAAGTCATTGGCACGCTCTGACTGCCAGGTTTCCCGGTCCTTACGTAAGCCTTGCCCAATTTCATTGCGTAGCAGTCGTCGTTTGTGGTCAAACTCGTGGTCACCCTGAGTAGACCGACGGGCTTCAATTAGTTGTAAAGAGCTAGGAGAAACCCAGTGTTTATAGGCGGGACGTTTCGCGAAGCTGCGAGCTAGTTAACTCGCCATTTTCATGGCGCCATGCAATTGCAACCAGTGCTCATCTATACTTTTCGGTGGGATGTTAGCTAGCCTTGAACCCAACTCGGTTTGATATTTAGCTGCAACCAATTTACTGACATCAATCCGTTTAGGACGATGAATTTGTTAGCCACTGAAAAGTAAGGTTAGATCAGCGCAAACAAGGGCATCACAATTCATATAGGTACTCCAAAAAAAGCGGCAGTCTTGTACACAACCACGCTAGCGGTAGCTGATCGCGATGTGATCAATCTGAGTTCAGGCTTGAGATGCCGAGGGAGGACGCCAATTGGCACATCGGCGATGACTGTGCCGGTAGTTAGTGCTAGCCAGAAACAGGTTGTGGTCTGTGCACAGTTGCAGTTGCAAGTCCCCATCGGCCACTTGAATCATAAGATGTATATTGCTGTCATTGATAAGTAGTACATGAAAGTCATAGACATTTTGAGAAAGTGTCATCACCACAACTTAATGTACATTTTGGAGTGATAGATGCCATATCTTTACCATGACAAGTAAACAGCCTTTGTTAATGTTTAGGGCTCGTTTAATTTTCAGAAGACAACCGCTATTACTGAACTAGCATTGCTGTGCTAAGGTCCAATTAAGGTATTGCATTATATTCAAGTCTGTAATATTTATTCTTATTTTTAGCTGTAAAAACTGACATTGTTTAATGAAACTAGAGAGTAAGCCTGGTTTTGGGACCTAACATTTTTTGGTTTAGAAGACCGAAAAGTCAACTTTACAGAGGTAGAATAAGTGGTGTAGTGTTAGATAATTCTGGTCTAGTTACAAAGTTTATATTCTTATATATGTTGTAACCGTAAAGACTGCTGAATAATTGTTCAATAACAGCGACCAATGATTGGACACTGGGTGACATGGTTCAATCGTTCACTATGATGCAGATATATTCACTCTCTATTTTTCTATCGATAGTGAACTCCAGTACTCATTCATACATACTTCTTTCTACTCTGTTTTTTAGAACTCTATCCTCAATGCTTAGTTTTCCTCATTAAAATTTCTACTACATTATTTCAATCTGTTGTTATATATCTTGTCAATTTCATCTCGTCTTACTAACACAGTATGATAAATTGGCTTGTAGATCACCAACGTAGATTATTTATGTCGAAAATGATTGGAGGCCTACTTGAGCTAGACGTGAATGGTGTGACAAACTGGCTAACGTCGAAGTCACACCTCGTGGTCAGCACCTTACGTGGACTACCCCCATTGACGTATCAAGGTACCATAGATGCTCTGAAGACTGTACAACACAGAGGACGTTATTACAGAAATATGTTAGTTAAAGTAGATACAAGCGAAAGTAAGACCACTGCTGTATGGGCCAGTCCATGGCATACGATTAACTGATTCGTGTTGGTTGTCCATGGCCTTGACGAGGATCGATGATTCGCTCGATATTCAATGATCTAACTGCCGGATGATTTGACTAGGAATTAGTGACGTTTCGCTGGCCCTACAGGCTCAATGCACGTCTATGCCAGGCTCTACGTTAATGCTGACTGAATATTTGTAGCAGGAAAACCAACTATTCCTAAACGATTGATTGCTTTGATCAGAGAACCACTGTGATATACATCAAGCAAATAAAAAGACAAAATGACTATAGAGGCAGATTTATTTCACAATCTGAAATAAATCAACTACTTTAGCCAGAAACATTCTTTTTTATATTAATTTTACACTTGATGTTTGGTTAAAAAATGTCTCAAAAGGAAACTACAAAACGGGTACTACAAAGAGTCCATGCTGTGTGTCATACTGAATTAAGTTCACATTAATTCAATTCAAAAACTAGTGTCCTGAGTAATTATCACACTGAAATTAAAATCAGTCTTATACTAAACAAAATATCACTGAAAATAAAACGAACGTTATACTGAGGAGTTATAAGTCTGAATAAGAAACGGAAGTAATATTGGATCACAACCACTTCAAGCTGAGGTGCAATTCCGCTGTTTTATTCTATCCTAAAAGAAGAAAACAGCATACTTAAGACTTTGGTTTAACAAACTGGTTTATGGAAAGCATTTTCTAAACTCCAGTGCTTCTAAACATCTGTCGAACAAGTTCTGAGTGTTTCTCCTTCATATTATATTATTTACACAATGATATATTCTCTACTATCAACTCTAAAGGCTTTACAGACGATATTTTTTACTACGTTATTCGTTAACTAATGGTAGTACTGAGTCAGTCTTTGTGGATTACTTTTTAAGGTTCGGAATGTAGACGATAAAGATCCAGCTTAATAATCTGAAGATTGAGATAATATGAAAGTTCTAAAGATCGTCATTGGCATAACAAAATAGCTTTCCAACAAGTATTTCACTAATACGAAGCAAAAGACAGTTTACAACCATGACTGACTAGTTATACAACTGTTAAAAACAAAGAATCTTTGGACAATTGTTTCATCTTCGTATGGAAGTCTCTACTTATTGATTCATGATCTTTTCTTGCAATAGAAAGTAAAACATTCAGGCTATATAAAGACGTCATTAACCTAGATCACCAAGTTGGGATTCAATTGTCTACATTGTGAATTCATACATAGATTTCTTTTAAAAATCGCCAAAAGTTGGTCAATCCATTAACATGAACCAATAAAAATAAATAAGTAAATTGCTTATTGTTATGTCCCGACAAGAATAATGAATGGTAACTTTTGGGATCTATTGATGGACAAATACTAAACGTATATTTCTATTGTATAATTATTAAGTAACTAAACTATGCATATTCATATTCCTCTTACTATGAGCTTTATTTTGACCCATAAACTATTATTATACGTTTTACCATTCTTGAGTTATACCCAGTATATTAATTACTACCTCCCACATTCACAGCCACATCTAGCTAATTCTTGTACAAATGTTGTTTCATATTTTGTTGGTAAGTTGTGGTCTGTTTGATTGGTATATAAACTCAATATGTTTGAAATAAACGATTTCATTTTGCAGAGGCTGCTGATATTGGTATTCTAGACTTAATTGGCTAGGTTAGACAGGAAGCAGGACCAATAAATAAGGACTTGTAGACTACTCGTACGGGTTTTACGCGTCATTGGTCCAATCGATAATTCACTGCTCCCTAATTGGCGGTATCGTTACGACGTTATACATTAGCAGGGCATATAAGTTATAACATTTATATATTGAGGAAAAAACTTCTTTTGTCTCCTGACAAAAGAATGTCATTTTCTAATTTATGTTAAATGTCATTTATTTTAACGTTAAGTAATTTATAAGAAGTTTTTTTTTTCAAAAAAAGATAAACAAAATGTTTGTTTTAATTAGATCACGTTCAGTTTTTATGTAATAATAATAATAATCCTAGGGAAAACCATATTTTAAATGATTAGTTGCTACCAAGTGTATATGCTTGTAAGATATTATTATTATTATTATTATTATTAATAACTGTTACTATGGCAACCACTGTCATAAATATAATTTACTTTCAAGTTATCTTGTCAATTTCAATTTGTAAAAAGAAAACAAAAAACATTTTACATAAATAAATGAATCATTATGTATTTTGTAAACTTGACAATAATACAATATTATATTCTTAATTTGTTTTACTTTATTTCTTAACTTATTCAAAATGTGTTTTATTTTCAAATGTTGTATTTATTCATTGAATATTTGAGAATAAATGAAGTGTAATTTAAGTTAATTAATCTCTATGAAGGAATTTTCGAAGTTCTAGTGAGAAGTCGTGACCAGTAGAGCTAATCCGTGTCGGGTAGAGACAAGTATCTACTTCAGTACAATGGAAGATGGTCGTACAGTTTCATGAATTTGTTGAGGTTAGACATGAACATCGTTGGATGCCGACTATTTCAGTGGTTTAGAGGTTAAGCGTTCACGCACGAGATTGAAGACCCTGGGTTCGAATCCCATAGGGTGGGGTCGTGGATGCAGGTTGCTGAGGCGTCCCACAATAGGACGAAACGGCCGTTCAATGCTTCCAGGTTTTCAATGGTGGTATAGTATCAATCGATTCATGATCTAAATCAAAAATTTAGTGAAATAGTTTTGTTATACATGTAAAACAGTCAAGTAGAAGTGATGATATATAGGGAAATAGTAGTAGAAGAGATTTATTTACAAGTGACTTCATTTTCCCCTTTTTTACAAGGTAGCTTTTCTACATCAAACAAAAGAAATCAACACATAATTCTTAGCAGTTTACATCCAAATGTTTGTAGAAGCAAGC